CTACCGGGATGGCGGAGGTATCGCCAGCAATGTACTTGGAAAACGATCAAGCAAAACTTGAACAGTGCTGCGGACAATGTTATCGGGGAAAGATCGTAAACCTCTAGTCGGTTGGTAACTGACTCTGCGTCCCCAGCGGTCGCAGCACCCGCAATAACCAGCGTGCGTAACTGAGTTGTATCGGCACTGTCATTCTCAGAGTACTCGAAACCAAGTCTCTCAACGAGGGGCGAGAAAAGCGTCTGCATCCGGTTGGAAAGTGAGATGAAAGCCATCAGAGTCAGGTTAATAAACGGGCGCACTCTGCGAAAAGCGTTCAGGTATTGCGTGACCTTGTCTCCTCCCACCATGTGTGAACGATCCTGCCAAGTTTGAGCCCATGCCGTCCCAGACCAAGACTTCCCGCCACGGGTCAGCTCCCCACTGCCACTAACGTGATTCAGGCACGCACATTCCTTCTCAGCCCGTAACTCATGGACAAGGTTGAGTGCGGCACTCAGGGGAGATAGCCCGCCTTCCCAAGCGCAAACGCATCGTGCACCAGTCCAATACGGTCACTCAAAGAGAAAATAGACTCAGGTTTGGCTGCCTCATTTGCGATACCAGCGAGGCGAGTGGGTGTGTATAATACCCGGTCTACACATGTGATAATGAAGGGTGCAGCGAACGGCAAAGCGACTCACAAACGCCATTCGTATCTGCATTAATCTTGAAAGGTTTGTTCGTGTCGAGCTTAAACTCAGCTTCACGAGTCACAAGTAGAGCAGTATTGTCGACCAATCCCTGTCCCGGGGCTGATGAAGTGACAATACCCAGTGGGATAGACCTGTAGTGACGTAATAACTGTTATCTTGAACGACTATGCGATGATGGGGGCACTCACCAAATTGTCTCATTATCTTCCGGCCTTGCTGGACCATCCTCGAGGAAGCGGTCCTGACGCACCTTGATGCCCGTCGGCGTTTCCGTGACAGTGAGCACCGGGAATCCCATCTATAGGCCATGCTTGCCGAAATCACCTTGTCGACGGAACAGTCACGTACCTTCGAGACCCAGCTATCCATCATCGTAGGAATGTCGAGTCCTCCAGAATCCTCTGTCAGTCATAAACCACCTCAGAATTGGTGCTATACCGTTGACTCGCTGACCCCTCCCACAGGTCGCGGAGACGGTGTTCGAGTAAAGGTGTTTCTTGAGGTACAGTGAGACACCCATGAGGAACTTGTCCTCACCAACATATTTCGATAGCATACGGAGCACTGCTGTCGTCAGCAGAGACATCGAGTTTGTACGCAACAACTTGAAACGTACCGGAGGCAGCTTTGGCGTATGACAATAAGTCGAAAATCTGTCCAATCTGTCCCGGATCAGGTATCTCAACTTCAATTGGATGCGAGGAGAGTTTCGCATCGAGATGAAGAGCAGCAGTAGGCGCATATTAATGAAACCGGCGTCAACCTTCCATTCGGGATGAATCCTACGATGCGTTTGTCACGACTAAGGGAGGAGAGAATCTGGTACTCACTTATCAAGGATGATATTCGCGCCCATCTACAAGAAAGAACAGATGAGTGTGGGTTATGAAGGATTCCAAATTATTGAACGTGCCAAAGTAGCGAAACCTGATTAAGGCTTGGATGAGAATAGGATAGTTACACAGAAAATCACTCTGGTATTACCTTCGTTAAGATACAGATTGTCCCACCACTTCATGTTGTGATATTCCCAAACCTACACCATTCCAGTCAAAAATCACGCGGCTCTTCTCAAATGATGACATACCACATGTGTGCACTTCATGGCACTGGGTCCCTGCTATGCGCTTCTTCGCTGCGATATCGGCGTTTTCAGGATCAACAAGGTAAGCATTGGTCCGCCCTGTGATCAAACCCTGTCAAATCGCAAATTTGCCAATCAGGCAGTCCTATGACACCGAGACAGATGCGGCTTCACCCAATTCTCCATAGCACCAGCGTCAAAGTCATTCGCTACAAGAGTGTCGAGCTTCGGCAACGGGTACTCGATATCGAATACTTTCTCGTAGAGTGGAAGGGCCTTCCTTTGATGTCGAGGGCATACTGAGCCTGGTGGATCACATCCGCAGTAGCTAAGGGACGATAATCGTCAACGTCAACGCCAGCACTCGGAGAAAGGAGCACACCGTATATACGCAGTGGACGAACCTTCCCACTGAGGGGACTTATATACGAACTCTCGAGGTGCATAAAATCCCCGTTTGCAATTGCGAGAAGATAGGTCGACATCTAAACACTCATCAACATGACTTGTTCTTTCCATCTTTCCGTACTTACTGGAGGCGTTGTCTCGAACGAGGTAACCTGCCAACAACCCAAATTGACGCCTCGAAAAGAGCTTCGGTATGTGCATCAGCAACTGCAATGTCAGGTCGTGCGGGCATGTTGGAGAGGCTGACGGTGCCCTTGCGTGAGATAAGCGTTACAGCGAAGGTTGCTTTCAGGAGAGGTTCATCCCAACAGGGCAGAGCGCGACGAGCGTCCGTGGGCTAACGGAGATCATCGAGTCAACTTTCACGGAGGAGACGAGAATCAGCGAGAAAAACATCCTGCGTTTGCCGCTTCCCATGTACGAAGACAGACACCCATCAAATTAATACGGATGCAGGGACAAGGCTGGCCACTCAAACCAAGTGAAGGAGATGGGTAACATATGCCAGCTCCAGAAACAGGGAAATAATCGGCCAACAGAACAGATAATCGCACTCTCAGGCTAGACCCTTAGGTAACGGCCCCTGCCCAAACGGGGCATACCTAAGGACATCTAGTACCACCATGATTCAATCATAGCACCATCTCAAATTTGCGGGCCAACAAGTGACGCCGATCTGATACACCCACGTAAGAGCCAAGTCACGCACCTCAAACTGTGTCAGTGCATAGATGCCCTTGTCCCATGTACTCTTGTAGTATCCGGTCATGCTATCCGTTAGCGCGGCCCCGAAGCCGAGGCGAAGGGTAGCTTTGGCACCAGCGGAGAGTTCCTCATCGAATACCAGGGAAATGCGCTGAGCGGCAGCATCGACCTTTGTCTCAACAGGGGTAAGCTCTCCACCTGACGAAGCGAGAACAAGCGTTGATGGGACAAGCTCTAGCTCAATGGCCGAATTGAAGGTAACGACCTTAGTCGCTTTCACGATATCAAGGCTAGAAGCGGGTAAGGATGGTCTGCAAGCAAAAACGGCACATTACGCACTCAATTTTCACAAACCCGAAGAATCTCTCCTTCTCGAGGTCCGTCCTGATGGTCAAATCGTAATGCCTAGGACGCACGTCCGTAGGGAGGCGGTAGTGATCAAGGGCTTTCTCGGACATGTTAAAAGAAGAGATCAGATACGGCGATAGTATGAAAGCGGGGAGAAGCGTGAGCACAAGCACGAGCACGAGCGAACAAAGGTAGCGGATTACGCCACACGTAATGAGGGCCTCAGCCTTGAGATCTGACGTACACCTCGCGCAGCCATGTGGTCTCTTGAAAAGATCGGGACCGCATGCTAAGAAAATCCTTGCAAGCGACCGGCGGTTAACTGAAAGTTTGGCGGCACCCTCACTTTCACCCGTGACAGTGACCTGGTCGCACGCGCGTTGTGTCAACTAAAATTCTAGTGATGAACCTGTCTACCGTTATTGGAGTCAAATCCCACGTCGGTTTCATACACATGGCCCAAAGTTGCATGCTGGTTCAGACTCAAGGAAGCATTTGGTCTCGTTCACTGTCCAGTCCTCTACAATTCCCCAACGATCCCTGTTGTCTGTTTCCAGCACGATACGCCTTCGTGGCTACCGTGGCCAACGCCGCCTTCGACAACGACGACTCTCCCGGGAATTCGTAATCCATGAAGTTAAACACAATCTAAGTATCAGTTCAGCGACGGGAACGTGATTCCCGATATTGAAAAAGCCATTTACACCACGAACGCCGCGCGACAAATAATGATAGACACATAAACTCAAGGGATCACACACCCGATATAACAGACAAGACCCACCGAGACCCACAAGAAGGGCACGGAACACAATCCCAGGGCACACCAGCCCAACCTACCCAACAGAAAAAAGGGAAGAAGAAAGAGAGCCAACGTCAAAAAAGCCTCCCTAAACATGAACGGCCTGCATACTAGTAGGTGGTTGTTCGATTTATATTTTTGGGAATACCGCCGTGCATTTACTATACAGAGAGCTAGTAATGGGAAGCATTGGGGAAAAGGAAGTCAACTTGAATGACTGGTATAGGAACAATGAAATGTTGCGAAATGTCTGTGAATTGATGCCTCCGAAGAGCTTCGCCCGACCAGCAGTTTGATCCTCCCTTCTCCGTACAGGTCCCGAACGGGTCGAATACAGGTAAGGGCCGTTCTGTTGCCGCGATAAAGTAGCAAATTAAAGAAGCTATTCCGAGGGGGCAACAAGTTCCTGCACGCAGCTGCAAGAACTGGCTGGGTCTGCAGCCCAGCATGTATAGTATCATCTCCCTACTAATAAGCAGTGTAGTCGTGGGCGAGAGCAAGCAGTCGCCTGTGGCCTGTGTAATAATAATTTTTCCTTTGAACTGGGGTCGAACCAGCATCCTTAGGGATGGCTAAATGATCTGTTACTGTTGTACTGACAGGCTTAATGACATGAAATTTGCTTATTGTACGACATCCATACTACGTTGGATGAAGTGAAATCGAGCACGCTATAATACATCGACTGCTGTGGCTAGTTTGGATCGTAATGTAAGACGTCAAAGAGCCGCCGCTGTCTGTCACAGCAAGGTCAGATATCGGAGGCCTTGCCAACCAGAGCAGCTGGATCGGAATTCGATGGCCCAAAAGTCAGGTTTGGATGCTTTATAACTTGGCTTGGTGTGTCGCGGACATGCCAGTGCTCAGCGAAGCATCAATATTACCTCTCCACTGGCGCCCGGGGTTCCAGTCTGAAGAAACAGCTGATTCTCCCAATCTGGATAGTGAGAAAAAGACTTCCTTGGGACTGGAATCGAACCAGCAACCTTGGGATATCGCAGACATTCTGTTATAGTCCCACGCTCTTTCAGTTGAGCTACCGAAGGTTGACTATCCATTCAGTGGCATGCATGATAGTACGCTGGTTGAGTAGACATCTTACTTGATATATTGCGCAAATGTACATTGCAGCATCCATGATGTTACTGCCCTTCATCGTCGGGTTGCCAGTGTAAACAAAATACGCAGCATTGACAATTCTCTCCATTTCTGCAGAGAGAAAAAGATTTCCTTCGGACTGGAGTCGAACCAGCAACCTTGGGATATCACAGAATGTTCTGTTATAGTCCCATGCTCTTCCAGCTGAGCTACCGAAGGTTGACCACATTATCGTGGCATGCGTGATGGCGCGTATGGTCGTCAAGAGGTCGTGTATGATGGGCGATGTCCTACGTGGCTATGGAGACCGACAGGACGAGCCACGTGGTCACTGATGGGTGTCAGCCAAGCCACCTTGTCGAATTGGGCAGATAGACATCGTCGAAGTTGCCACTTGGTCAGGGCCCAGATGCAAGAGGCAGCGCGCGAGAGGACGTGAAGAATATTAGCTAGAAGCACTTCATGATGCAGGTGGAGGCATGGGCGCCGAGGCAGCGCACTGCAGTCCTTGAACGTGGGGAAGAGGAGGAACAAGAAAGACACTCCAGGCTATGGTCTGGCAAATTTGGGGGACAGCGACGAACACACTGTCCGAGTCTCTGCGTTTGTGTAGCCCATATGTGGAAGAAAGCCCTTCAGTTCCCGATAATACACGTGATGCGCATGGCTTGTAATTATCATTTGGGCCAGATGGCGTCACAACGCCCAGGATCACAACTTCGTGGCGCCCCGGTCATCTAGGATCATTGAGGGAGCACCGAGGATCAGGACTTATGAGGAAGGAGAGAGAAACAGAGCAAGCGAAACCCGTGTAGTTGTAATTTTGAGAGAAGCGACCAAAGACTCGGACTTGCACGGCGGTTCAAGTTGTTGATGATGGCTGGTCGGCCCGAGGCAGCGACAGGAGGCTCACTTTGAAACGCAGGTGAACATAGGCCCTCATGAACAGCACGCGGTAGGAAACAACAGAAATGAAAGCTTACGAGAAGGTGGAACTCGAAAGGCACAACCAAGTCCCATTCAAATTCTTCTTGAAACGCTAACGGTTACGTTCGATGACCCGTATGGGGTTGAGAACCTCTCGCCCGAGGCCGCGGGCATCACACAGAGCGGCGGCGACGGCGACTCGGACTAGTAAATAGGTGACCCACCTTAGGCCGCTGCGGGACTCCGACCAATTACGTCCAAATGCCCATTCGATGGCAGTCCGGGTTCGGTCCGGGGGTGCTGGCGGTCTGTTAGACAAATGGGTTACTCACTTATCCATGTCCTTTCCGTTTACTGTACGTTCTCGTGATTAGGCGGAGACCAGACTAATCTTCCAATCGTCTTCAAGTTTTACATGAACATAGCACACAATCAGATTGAGGATTGGGGATCAGTTCGGTGACAGTTCCGGTGAGACCATCACGGTGCTGATATCCCCTCAGGCTGTTGGTTGAACAGATGCTCTAGGAGTGGCTTTCCTGGACTTGCAAGTGTATGCACTCCTCCAAGCTGCCTAATCAAGCACAACTTGTGCAAGATCTCATTCAAAGGTAAGTTTGCAGCTTTGGAAATCAGCTGGTGGATGTGTTTTGGTGTGATCTGCAACAGGGCTTGTTTGATGTCACTGACCTTGTCACTGACATCAAACAAGCCCTGTTACAGATCACACTGAAACACATCCACCAGCTAAGCTGCAAACTTACCTTTGAATGAGATCAATAAACAGACAGGAACCATATGTCACAAAGGAAGAATATGGAATGACAAGCATTTCCCAACAACTTTGTGACATATGGTTCCTGTCTATTTATTCTATGCCAGTTCACCTAACAGTTGCCTGCGCAACCACCGCTTCGAAGGTCCATCCGAATCTTACTGAGGATTCCCACGTCCTGTCTGTTGAAAACTTTTCATGACTGCAAAGCTCTCTGCAGGGCGATAACGACACACCTTTGACATTGCTTGGGACACTCGGACTTCAAATTGCTGGTGGTGTCAACGATAAGCCGGGCCCATGATCCAGTTCTTCTATTGCAGACTCCGTATAGGTTAGGCAGCTTCCAGAAGAGCTTCGTGTTTTCAGTTCGGACCGACACTGCATGACTAGTAGTCCTCCGATTTGTCGCTTAATCTAATCCTCCAGACTTTGCGTTAAACCTGATTGCCAGTGGATGTCAACTACTTGAGCTGACTGATTTCGTTTCTTGCACATACACGTCAACAGGGCCCCGCTTGAGAGTAGAACGCACGGATGGGAAGTTGATGTTGCAGAATGAGACGTACCACGCGTTTTGGAGAAGGCCGCGATATTCTCGGGATCCGCCGAATACGACGGACATTTGCTCCGGTCAATCAAAAGAGCCGTGTGGCAGTGATCCATTGAGCGCGGTGTCACACATAGCGCAAACGTGTTGAAAAGCTTTGGCCGTGCACAAGCACAGGAAACATGCTATGACCCACGCTCGCAGCACGAGGGAATGGCACCGTCCAAATTTCAAATTTGACATTCAGGCACGCCAACCAATTCATCTCACAATCTCCGACCTATGCTGTTTATCGGAAGGACCAGGCTGCAGCACGCTTATAGTTATCGCATTTGGTTCTCCTTTGCATCGACAGGGAATGCTGGGTTGCTCAGGGTGTGAAAAAGTAGAACCTATATGAGTGGCATTGATCAGCTCGATCAGCGTCCAATTGGGCACGCGACCGCACGCAACTTTGATTTGGCGAAAGCCGTCAGGCACACGAAGAGTTTGGGAAATGTGTGGGAGGTGCGTACAGTCGACTCCCTCATAACCCATAATCATAGCGATCTGTGGAACCTGGTATGGGTTATGAAGGAGTCGACTGCATTCGAGTAACCAAGTCATACTGTACATGTGCAGATCAAAGAAAAAATTTACCGGCTAAATTCATTGTCTATTCCGATAATTCCCGCCGCTTCTATCGACCAGACGCCCGTAGAGCGTACTTAATACATACGTTTGTAATGAACATACATGCATTCTTGATCGTGGCGAAAGTCGTGTCCGCAGCTCCTTTCACATGTATTTTGGGGAGAATTCTCCTTGCATGCCCACGCTTAGGGGAAAAGCATAGAGATCCTCTTCACCAGGAAAGTGGGGGTAGGCGTGTGATCTCTTTAGTGGGATGTTGGGAGATCGGAGTCTATCGGAGCGAGCGGAGAGCGATGACGGCATGGGAAAGATTGAGCTTGCGCATGAGCTGACACATGCACATCGGGCGATGCCCGAAATAAACTGTTGGGTGTCTGAGGCAGGCGCATGGGCTGCCTTTCTGGTTACGATGCGGTGTATTCACTGAGCTTGTTGTTTGTTGTGGAGAACTCGTGGTGCCAATGATACGTTGCTACATTCGAGAAGCTCCTAAGTGCGTGTTCCATTACACACCCACACCCATTCCAATCTTTCCGTATATAAGCCGTCCTTCCCAATCACAAGGGCGCTCGAGCCAAACGCCTTTGGGTGCCCCTCTTTATCCAATTCTCATAAAGGCACTCTCACCGTCCCCAGCCTGCGAGATTTATCATCCCGACATGACCACCGTGTTGCACGCGACATGTCCCCCCTCCTCTACCTCATCGCCATCTTCCTCTCCGTCGTCACCCCCTGATATAATGCCACGAAAATTCGCGCTTGCACAAGTGCACGATGGTGTCTGTCTCGTGCAGGGTGAGTAGTCCGTAGCCCCAGCTCTGTTTGCCTTTTTGACGCACTCTTCTGACTGCCACTCACGTTCAAGTGTGCTCCTCGCTCGCCCGTGAAGGTTTCCATTCCGCGCTCACCGCGGTCGAAGCTGAAATCTATGCGCACGAATTTATCACCATATTCAGATACTCGCATCCGGCCGTGCTTCATCCGTCGGACATACGGATACTGGAGTGGCTCGATGAGCAGAGCGTGTTGGATGAGGCAGACAAAGGCACCGTCTTCCTTGCACGGGATGTCATGGAGCGCCTGCGACGGCTTACGGACCGGCGGTGGTCGATAGGGTCAACCACTTCGGTCCCGCGGTCCCGCGGAGGAAGACGGACGTCTTGATCCCCGATCCCCCTCCCCCTCCCCAGCGGGTCCGTTTAGTGGTTTGTTTCATTTACGTATTGGAATCCAGTTTTGTGCCGGTTGTACTTGTACTGTATCTGCTGCCTCCGAATAACTTACATTCGTATTTTTTACGTAGAAAAGGAATCTTAACTTCCTCACATGAAATATGGAAACACGAACGAACAGAATTCGTTGGTGCTTCTACTTCCCGTTACGCGAAAGCGAATAATCATCGGACCAGGATGCCTTGTGCCACTGATACCATGGTCGCACCATCGCCCCCGAGAATTTGCGGATGAAATCATCGTGTCACCAAAGAGCTTGGCCCCAACATAACACATGACTTCAAAGACTAGAAGTAGGCATAGATTTTTCATGTTACACGTCATTATGCGTCATCAATTACTGGCCACCTCTGGGCTTTAACTAATTTGGAAGAATTCGTGGAGCTGCGTTCCGATAAACAAACCCTTAAAAGGATGGCAGCCATCCGGACGCTACGGACTTGCTGTTCAACAACGTAGTGTGCTCGTCCAATAAACTCAACGTCGCATGTGAGGCACGGATTGTCAGCTCTTGTACAACTTAACCAAGTGCCTATGATATCCACAACTTAAAAACGGAATCTACCCAGCTCAGTCTTCGGGAGCGTTGTTCAAAGCCTCTTTTCGCCTATGGATTAGGGAGTGATGGCATGTACCCACCCGCCAGCAAATTGCCATTTAGTCAGGGCAGCCGCGATGTGCGCGATAGTTTGCCAGTGCCGGGTGCTCCTGTTCCTTGGGGACGTGACGTCGTTGCGTAGCCCTTGGGGGATCCAGTCATTTCGTCCACCTCTTTTGTTATTTGATAAGAGCAAGCGTTTACTTGGCTAGGTTGTGAATCGGGCGTGTGTTGGACATTGTCGCCGTTCCAAATCCTTAGACTCGGCAAACACTTAGGGAATTATGAATCAAATAAAACGACTCTCGATTTCTGGATCAATGTATATCGCCAGAAGTAGTCGGAAAGGCATATATAACGCACGATAAAGAGATCGGGGATGATGTCTCCTGTTCCTGCTCCAGAAATTCTATCCGCCGAATTTAGTGTTGAAGTCCATATCGTCCGTATGAGGCAGAATCCTGGGTGCCCGGTGCGAGAGTTGCAAACGCGGTTTGTTCCTGT